CATTTGAGTAGATCACAACCCGGCACCACCATGCCTGACAATCCTGAAGAAAACACTGATTATAAATCACACTATCCAATGATGATTCATTACAGTTCTAGGTCATTGTCTAGGGAGTAAAACTCCTTAATCACAATCTTTCAGCCTCTCTATAATTATGACACATCCTCAGCAGTAAGCTAATGTTACCGCTGAGAGAGGGTAACTGTGGATGGGCTTCTTTCATTTGGACCATTTAACATTGTTACCACTCTTACTCTTTATTTTTTTGTATTTTAATTGACTAAATATCTATCTATCTATCTATCTATCTATCTATCTATCTATCTATCTATGGTCTTTTTTTCAAAAAAAGAAATAATTTTTCATAAACAGACCCCTCTCAAGCATAATCTCATGTGTGTCTGTCTATTACACTGTGTTTTAGGTGAGAGGCTGTTACAGACAGTCTTTTAGATTATGATTCATAAGTGCTCCATTCTCTAGACAGGTAAAACTCGTTATCATCAGTCTCTGGTTCTTTGTAATGATTATATATTGCATAAAGACTGCACATTCTCTGCCATACAGCTATATAATATTACCACTGGGAGTCATACAGTGTAAAGAAGTGTTGTTCAAAGACTGGTTCGGGACCAAAAGTGGACCTTGGCTTTACTTTTTTTTAAACGTTTTAATGATCCTGGTTCCCAGCCTGATGGCCTAACTGTACTATGCTGAGACAACCTCACTGAGCCTTCAACCCAGTGTGAAAACCCACATTTATTCAGTATTGGTCCCTATGATAAAAATGCTAGTATTTTTTTAATGAGCATTGGTCCCACGGTGAGAAACTAAATTTCTCATTTAGGTCCAGGGCTGCAAAAGCTTAAGGGATCCCTGGACTACACAGTTAACAGTCATTATCATCATTCTTTGGCTTCACATTGTGATAACAGACAGCAAAGCTCATTCTCTACAGTGCCGCAATAATTGAATAAGTAATAATAATAAGTGGGATATACTACTTTTGAGAGTCTTTAAGCAGATACACAAGAAGCACTGGTGATCACTGTGATTTTACTTCATGATAAAAATCCTTACAGGCCAATGTGAGATCTGAACCCCTTAGTGTAAAGGTGTACTACATTAATTGCAAAATTTGTGGCACAAGTTTCAGTGTTGATAGGCTATTACTTTTCTTTTTTTTTTTAAAGCTAGCTAGGCTATTAACTGGAAGTGTAAGCAATCAGATGTGCTGGGGGTGGGATACTGAGCGAGACTACTCTGTAGTAACACATTTCTTAAAATTAATTTTAACTATTTTTTTTTTTTGCCGATCTGAAAAATTATCAGATCCATGACTTAAACTGTGTAACTATCTGAACCGTGAGCTGTGTGACCCCTCCTCCAGAGAGAAAGCTCCATAGATCCCTATGGTAAGAGAGTTCCTTCACATCAATATGTTTTTGTTAGCTTGGCCCTTCTTATAACACATGCAATATCTTTGGACTCAGCAGAATGACTTCAGGCAATTTTCTCACGCTGAGACAACTTAATATATATATGTATTTATGTATATGTGTGTATCTGTGTAAAGACAAAGTGTGTGTATGTAGATGCAGATCTGAACTGAAAAAATAAAATAAATAAAACTTATTTTCCCTGGGAACTCCTCACGTATGCATGCACACACTGAAATACACACAGAGCATACCCGTTTTAATTTTAATTGCTGCAAGAAGCACATAAGCATATAAGATTTCTTTTTCACATATACACACATACACATACACACAACAAACACCATACTAATGTTAATTGCACCAGCACATGCTTGGCTGAGCATGTAAATCAGCAGAATTATTGATGAGGGTTTTATTATGAAGCCAAATGCTAAGGAATGGATGAGGTATGAGCTTGGGCTTCCGTAATAATAATTAAAAGCCTTTGTCACATGATCTGAATACTGTTTTAGAGATGTGTCGAAGAAATATGTCTGCCGCCACAGACTCTAGGGATATTTATCACATTTATCATTAAATTCATCGCTTTACTGCCGTGTGGTCAATATAATGTTTAAGTTTATTTGGATTTCCATTAGCTGCCACTGAGGTGAAAACTATTTTTCCTGAGGTCATAAAAATAAAACATAAAAACACTGTATGCCTTGACCTCCCATTTCGATTACGACTAATTAAACACTATACACAGAGCTATACAAGATCTTCAGCTGCTCACAATATGAGCGGAGGAGCTTATTTGCCTCTTTCTTTTTAAATAACAACTGATGTATTCTAATCCCTGTATAATCAGTAGCTTGCGAAGATGGTTCATCAGGTGTGAAAATATCACAGTGAAACTGAAACTGAGTAAATACTTGTGGTAAATACTTTAAACACAGCCACTGGAGAGGTTTCTTTTAATGGCCTGAATTCCAAAATAAACCATACAAATTGACACCTACTGTGCAATTGTTGCCAGCACTGAAACAAACTAATGGTGTATTAGTTATGAATCATCTTGAGACCTTCTCTGACAAAGCCTTACTTTATTTTTTGTTTCATTGTGCAGAAAACCATGACATTTCAGTTTTCTTCATATCACATACTAATCTGATAATACAATGAGAAGCTCTACAGGCATTGATTGCTTTTACTGTGCACTACCTTTTTAAGATAACATGTGTAACACACTGCATATTGGGATAATAAACAAGAATGCCTGTGGTTATTTAGTTAGAAATCTGAAGATGTGCATGTATTTAAATTCATATTCTATATCGTAATTATTAATAATTAGGGACTAAAGATGACAATTAGAGTGTATGGCTAAATCTGGCACATTAATGGAAGATTGAGTCAAGCGCTCATGTTAATTAACATGCATTGTCCTTCCTTAAATAAAGAAACAAACAAACAATTATGTCGTAATCACTTTATATTTTAACATACACAGTTTTTCAAGTCACACCTGTCCTAGATGAAACCCTAATTAAACAAATTTCCTGTCTGCACCCATACTGTCTGCCTTGGTTAATGCCACGGAAACATTGTTGTTAAAGTTATTATCATGGTTAAAAGAAACTAATATTGACAGTTGACTCCTGTGTCAATATCATGTTGTTAACTCATCCAACCACCCTGACCCTTTGTGGACTTTGGCTCTATAACAATGTCACATTATGTCCTTCTTTGCCCCCATTGGAGAACCCAGTGGCTGCTTGAGGGCCTGTCACTCGAACACAAACATATTTTTGGGGCATTTGCTGAAACAAATTATGCTGTTGTTTTTGTTGGGAACCCTGTTCATCAGTTCAGAAAATAATAGATTCACCCTCATGTTACTTGGCTGGTTGGCTAAGGATATTTTTACTGTACCAACAACACACTAGCTACTCTGTTACTGTAGGTGGGTGAGCAGAAGGATTCGAGCTCCTGCTGAAATCATTTAAATAATTTTCAACCCAAAAACTGCAAATTAATCTCATTATTAGCTTTAACGTATAGTCATGCTTTGCATTATTGGTATATATAAGTTTAAAAGTGGCTTTCACCACAGCAGGTAGGACATGTAAGATCTATACAATATATGAATAATAATAATAGTACTTAGCACAGACCTAAGAACATGGAAATGGGTCAGGAGAGGAGAGAGATTAGTAAAAAATATTGTAGTAAGACAGAAACTAAAGAAAAACTAAATTTTTCTACTCCATATAATGGTTCTCACTGTTGTTCACTACATTTGCATAATTTATCTACTGGCTTAATGTACAATATGTCTCAGAGGTGGGCTGTCAAAAATGTACCCATTAATGACTTCACCTGATGGAGATGACACTGTGTTTTTCTGGATTCTTGGCTGCACCTCAAGAGGGAATGAATAAGATGCAGTGGGCGCTGGACACTTTCCCAGCTTTGGCAATGAAGAATCCCAACACAAAACCTCTAGACTCTACTTAGCTTTTGTAAATTTAAAAATTTAGAATATAATGAAAAGCTGAAATGGACAATACAAGGACTTATCCTTTGGGAAGCAATAACTATAGCCAGCAGAAAGTGAGTCACTATGGTGCATTGAGTTTATTATGGAGTGTAGTCAGATCATCATCAATCCCAGGCAGGTTCACTGTGTGTGACAAAGACATTTCTTCAAAGTTGAAAATGAAAGAGACCATCATAAAATAAATAAAATAGAGGCCTATGAGTATGCCTTTGGTATCCAAACATGATGGCTGTACAGGGGGCTGACACAATGACATGAATTCCAAGCAGCAACACACAACACACCAAAATTACAGCCTCCAGATTGGCCATATACTTTAATTAACACCTCTTCCAGAATCAACAAAAATTATATACTTTATATGCTTCATGGTTCATGCAGGATTATGTTTTCACAATTTTCTCTCTCAGCTTGTTTTACTTTCTGAGAATTGTAAAAGGGAATTGTTTACCTGCATCATTGGTTGGTTTGTAATCAACTGAATGGTAAGAATAGTTTAAATGAGTCAAAATTAGTTTGTTACTGTAGCATAAAAAAAAAGTATTTGCAAATACTGGGCATATTTTAAATATATATTTGCTTCTATAAATACAAATAACCTCTAATTATAGAGCTGGTTTCATATTGACCTCTGACCCTTTGAAGGAAAGAAGGAAAAGACAGAAGAAACCAAAAAGTGGAGATTGTGGTAGTAATTCTTGTCTCCTGGAAGGGCAACCCCAGTGAAAAATAGATGAATTCGCTGCTCCTGCCACATGAAAGATGGATATAGGCAGTGTGTCCTTGTGTACATGCAGTATGTGTGTGTGTGTGTGTGTGTGTGTGTGTGTGTGTGTGTGTGTGTGTGTGTGTGTGAGAGAGGGAGAGAGAGAGAGAGAGAGAGAGAGAGATTGTGTGTGTGTGTGTGTGTGTGTGTGTGTGTGTGTGTGCGTGCATGCATGCACCAAATGTGTATCAATGTATAATCACACTATCTACAAGCACACACAAACAGCAGACAATAGTTTACTTACAGACAGCATTTTTGTGACTGGAGTCTTTACTGGGCATCATCTTCACCCCTCTGGACTTCAACTCTATTGCTTTTTTCACTGCAGAAAGGAGAGGAGATGGAAATTATTCATTTAATAATCAAGACTTACTGTAAATCTTTTAAGTGATTATTACTGTGTGCAGTTTCACAGCCTTCCTCCTATAACAAACCTACAACAAATGCAACAGTGGCAGAAACTGAAAATTAGAACAGGGAGAAAAAGGAGAGAAGATATTAAAAGCCACAGAAGAGTGGGGACAAGGGAGGAGAAAAAGGGGGAGAAGAGCAAAGCAGTGGAGCAGCATTAAAATGTATTCCATCTATTTTATCCTAAGTAGCAGCATTGCAGAGGATAACAGAAACATCTGTGCTACAATCAAACTACATTGGCATTAAATAGCACATATTTCTCTCTCTTTCTCTCTCTTTCTCTCTCTCTCTCTCTCTCTCTCTCTCTCTCACACACACACACACACACACACACACACACACACACACACACACACACAACAGCATCCCATACAGAAGAGACAGACAGAAAGGAAATGACAGAAGTACCAATGGCAAGAGCAAGAGACTGATAACTCAGGAAGAAACAGACAGTTAAAAGTGAATATAAAAAGAGATGGAAAGACAGTACAAGGTGATGCGAGACCTGTCTCTCGTTCTGCACATCTGCAAGAGAGACAGGGTTTGGATCACTGTGTTTTGTGTTGGCCAATTAAATCTGAGCTGCCACGTGGAAACTAATATGCACTTTAATATGGTAATTAAGTCATACAACCAGTCAATTAGATGACAGGAAAGGTCCAGCAAGTCCAGTCAGGTGGTTTCAGACTTCTGTCCCAAATAATTGCTATTCTAAATTACAATACATGAATATACAGTGCAGTATAATGACCATGTATTCCCAGTCCTATCTTATATGTGTCATGATGCGTAGATTAGTTGTATAACAAAATGTGAAACACATCTGACTTAAATAAGACTTGTATATAAATACTTGTTGTATTATGTATTGTCGTACTATGTTGTATATACCATATGCTTAAAAAAGGGGAGGCAGAGAATAGATAAATAATAAGACTATAAGAGTGTGATATACCTTGGTATTGAGCACTGAATCCTTTTCTTCGATGGTTGCTGTCTGAGGTGAAATGTATCCGAAGCCAGTTCTTATTTGATATCACTGGTGAGGGCAGGGTTGTACCAGTCAGCCTGGAAGAAAGCAAATAAGAAATTATTCATAAAAAAACATAACAAAAACCAAAGAGAAATAGTTGACGAATGTAGGCAGAGCCAAAACTTAAGACATAATTTTCACATTGTATTTGTATCAGCCTTTGTACATTAGAGTTTACTTACACTTACTCTTTGTTCTTTAGTATATTTACACTATACTACAGAGAATACAGCTGAGAAAGACAAGGCAGATGGGAAAGAGATGGTATGATGTAAAAGAAAAACCCAAGTTGTTTTGCAAATCCACAGTAACCACCTTTGGCGACAGAGACAGAACCCCTCTCCAGTGAATAAACCATATATTGCATTAGATTATTGTTGTGAAAATGGGTCCTATGTTTCTGCGTGGTCCAAATTGTTGGCGAATATCCCGCTGATAGAGAGATTACGTCCTCTTTCAAGGATGGACAATGTTTGTCAACTTTCTGTTACAGTACGTGCACTTGGTTCGTGGATGTGTTCATGGAGGATGAGCTTTACATATTTCAATTTGAGGTACAAAAAACGAAAGGCAGTTGTTGGAGGAAAGTGCTTCAAAATTGCCATGTGATTACGGACTGCAGCATTATAGATTGCAGCACGACCAACCGCTGTTGTGAAATTACTCGTCACAAACAATCGTAACTACAGCATATCATACAACTCCAGGATCTACATTGCTTCAGCCGAAGGCCTATACATAAAGCATATCCCTATTTGAAGCAGAACTTTCCAGAGAGTTCAAAGTATGATTTTGATGCCACTTTGTATTGTCCTCTGAGGTGCAAAGGCTGGTTGTAATTTAAGGAGGTTTTAGCTGAAAGGCAATTTGTTCCACTGGCTTGGAAAATGCGGATGTGGGAATTGAATGAATGATATTATCCCTTCCCATAATGATCACCACTGACCAGAAGCGGAGCGCTGCGGTTGTAATGGGTACAGTATAACTCCCACGTATAAGTCTGTGCCTAACTGAGGGAATATTCAGCAAATCTAGCCAACAAAAAACAGCTCTGATTAATTGAAAAGCAAGAGAATGCCATAATGTGATGTTGTCTAAATTACGATATAATGGTTTGGGATTTTGAGAAAAAGGTGTATATTTATGATTACCTGTCATTCTGGGCTCAGGATAAAGTACAATTACTATTTTATTAATGTGTCTTATACTTATTTATGATAAAAACAAAGCAATACAGGAAGAGAAGAGAAATAATACAGTAGAAGAGGTGACTGGAAGTAGTAAAGTAGTAGAAAGCCAGCAAAGTTCACATCTTCAAAAAACAGTTTCTAAAGCCACTGAGACGATGAGTTGGTTGCCTATGGTAAGTCTTACATCAGCTTTAGCTGCTCTCGCATTTCGTTACCAACGGCAACCAAGGCGGTGGTTAAAAAATAAATAAAAAATTAAAAAGTGGGGAAAATGGTGCACTGAGACAAAAAAGGAAATGATGTAAGAGACTGCCTGGAAGCCAATGTTCTACCATCCTCCCTGGAGCAACAAGAGCCACTGTAACTGCCCTTTAATAATGCCGCAGGTGTACTGAGTAGATAGGGAGAGACAGTGAGGAAGGAAGAAACATAGATAAGGAAAAGGGCAGAAACAAAATATAAGAAGTGGTAAAAAAAAATATTAAGAGCGCTTGTTAGAGGACCTTACTGAGTGCTTATTATTAAGTTCTGTATCTGTGAAAGAGACAGCTTGAGAAAAATCTGAGAAAAAGAATAATGAAATATGTCATATGAGACAAAAGCCCTGCCAATGTGTGTGCCTAAAGGCAATTTAACTATAGCATATGCAGTGAATAGACTGCAGTAGAGTAATAGTATTTTTTAACAATTAGCATGATTAAATAGACATGCCTGGTAATGTGACATAATAATGTCTGAGATTTGAGCTTAAAAACCAGAGGAAAAATAATATGAAGTTTTGAGGGCATTACATGGTGTGTAAAAAAGTCACACTTAAATAAAATGGCAGACAGTGAATATAGTTCACTATATACTATAATACTATATATTTTTAGTCGAGTAAGTCTTTTTCAACAAATTCTCCGGTAAAAAAAAAGATTTATATGATAAAACAGCTTACTGTTATATAACCATATCTTGGACTTTGCTGTTTTTGTCTCAGACTGAAGTCAGTTTACATTTCACTCAAAGCTGGAAGGATTTTTTATATATATTTCATTGAAAAATGTAAAAGTCAATGAAAGAACAATTCTAGAAGTTAATGATTTGCCTTATTAAATTCATGAAAAAATGGTAGTGAACTGACAATAGTGGGAGAATCAATATTTTATCAGCTAGTATACAGTATCAAAATATAATCTATGGCAATAAATTCATCTTTAAGGGGTAATCTCCCAATCATATGAAACTCAAACTTAGCTATTACATTACATTGTAATTAAACTTGTTAGAAACATACCTAAGATTATTTAATTTCTTGTCAGAGGTTGACCATGAAGACTTAATTCTGTCTCTGATATTGTTTGATTTAGTAGAAACAAGATGTGGGGTGCTGACTCACTTGTGATAGTAAGGTCTTACCAATAGATTTCTGTTCTGAAGAAAAACAATTACGCCTGTTGAGTATTACATTGGGAAATAACTGCTAGTATTATACTGTTACTGCCTCAGGTCTTTTGCATTTGGAAAAGGGTGGTTATGCAATGTAAAATACTATTCATACGTGATGATGGTTATATCATATTGTTGTAAATGTATGTAAATGTTATGTACAACTCCAGTGTTATTGTTTACCTGTTCTATAAATCCCATGATGATATATATCATCTTAACAATGTTATGTTTATTGAAGGACACATGCAGATTTTCTTGGTTTTGGAGGATAGGTCTGCCCTGTCATGTGACCCAGTGAGTGCTGAAATGACATCCATTCATTATGTCAAGTCGCCAGACACTAATGGCCAGCAGCAGTCAACAGTTTCAAAAAGATTAAGAGCGATAAGTCGTTCCCAGAGGAGCTCTTTATGCATGCATTTGCTTTGGGAGATTTTTTCTTGTTTGTCCTCTGTATTTTACTAAATGTGTGCACATTTTGGTGATTTGGTGTCTCCTTCCTGCTCTCCAGTGGTAAGAAATCAATTATCACAGCTTTAACAATGGTAAAGAGAGCTTGCTGAAAAACAGCCCGTCTTCAAATGGCTTTTTTAGAGTCAGGAATTTGGTTAAGGGTGGAGGATAGTACTACAAGAATGCATGTTGTGGTACAAATAAGTTTAACTAAATCAGAGCAATACAGCCATTGTGTGTTGGGAAGGACCAAAAGATAGTGAAATTTGAAAAGTAGAGAGAGTAACAGATAAAAAGTGTGAGATGTGCTGCATCTCTTCCATTATTCATGGAGACTGGCCAGCTGCCTGACACTGGAATGAGGGAGAGACAAGAGGTCAGAGAGGAGGAGGAGAATGAGGGATGATGCATGAGACTGAACTGAAAGGAACGGGAAGAAAGAAGAAGGAGAAAATGAGAAGAGAAGAGAGACCGATAAAAGTTTGAAAGAAGTTGGTGAAAATAATATTTATGAGGGGGGAGAGAGGAGAGAGGGATAATGAAGGACAGGCTGGACAGTGAGTAAGCTATAGACAACAAGAAGAAAGAGGACAACAAAAAATCTGTGAGAAAACCTGAGGAGAAAAAGGGGCTGATGGATGAAGAACACGGAGTGGGTAATTAAATGAACAGGAGGAGAGAGGTTACACAAACCATGAGGAGAGGTCGAAAGTTAAGAAAGGGGAGGCGAGGAAGCAAGTCTAAATGAGGTTAGACATTACAAACACCAGGTTGCAAAGGATAGAGATAAATGAGAAAGTAAGTGAAGCTGGAAGGAGAGGAGTGATGTGAGAGAGAAACTCTCACATACAGAAACACACTTATATGTGAATAAAACAAAGAGGGAGGAGAAACAGAAAGGAGAGGTTGCCCAACTAAAAAAAAGAGTGGAGATAAGAGTAAAGGAGAGCAGGGGGGTGACACACCTGAGAAGAGTAGACAATAGGAGAAGAAAGGCTAAGTCACAAAACAGAGGAGGGGGGACAAGGAAACCAAGAGTAGGAGAGAGGTATTTATGTGCTTGCTGCAGCACTTCCCTATTATTAGACCACTAGCTTTTTGGTCATCACAGAGACACTACTTTCTACTGTCCAGGCACTGCTGCTATAGCCCTTGCCCTCCCTATTGGCAGCTTGTATTGCAATGCATTATTTCCACTGCTGCACTTATTGCAACTCCCTGTGGATGTAAGCATCTGCAAAATGACAAAAAGGCACTGTAAAAATAAATGATTGGATACAAGTCAGAAAAGTTGGAAAGCACATTATCCACAACAGATAGCTGTTTATTCCAAGTGCTTAGTGCAAAACCCTGGTACACCGGTACTTTTAATCTCATAACACACCCACGCACTCACACAGAAAGACACACACAGACACGCACACACAAAGACAAATGCAGAGCGGGTAAACATAATTTAAAATGTAAATGTAATAACAGGACAAGAGAGGTGTTGCAAAGTAGTGAAAAGAGACTAAGCGAGGGCTGGTGGTTACAAAAATGGGAGTGAGGAGAGCTCAATGAGGTGGAGGTAAAGCGGAAGCAGTGGAAGAGGATCAGAAAAAAAGGGACTTAAAGGGAGGAGTGAAACGAGAAGTAACAGAGTGATAGGAAGGCAGAGCAAATAGGAAGAAAGAAAAGATTCAGGTTAGAGAGATGGTGGAGAAGTCTGGGCCTATTTCCTTGGCAGATGTCACTGAATTATTCCTGGCAAAGCACAGAAGATGGACATGGTTCATCCACAGATGCTGCAGGCCTGTTGTGGTGCCCTTTGAATTGGCAGACAAGGCCAGCCATTCCCAAGTTTCTGTAAGGGGGCCGGAGTGTTCGAATGATCAAGGAATTACACAGCTAAACCTTCTCTGGGAAAGCCTTCCAAGGTCAGTGTGCCAGAGAAGAAATTCTGGCTGACTGTTAAA